ATAAAACATTTTACAAAATTATAAGCTTCATTTTATGTTAAAAATAAATAAAGCCACGCGGGAAAGCGACAAAAACTACAAGCTGACATCAAAGATGTAACGGTAATCGGTATCTAATGTTGGCCTTTGTTGTCATTTGTGCATTTGAATTTTGACATTTGCAATTGTAAATAAATGTTACCAATAAAATACACTTATTATTTATTTTTGCGGATGAGGCATGAAAACATCATAATTGTATACTTTTACGAAATTAATACAATTATAACTAGCGTAATTAACTTCAACACTCAACTAACTGTCGGCAGAATGGCGCGCTATTCTAATACCGAATGACATTGACAGCTGTCAATTAGACCTATTAATAAATCATTAGGGATGGGATACGCCGATGTTCTAGTGTTGTGCTCCTCCAGTGTAGTACTGATTTAATTTTTAACAATACTTACGTTTATGAGTGCCGTTAGTGACACGAGCGCCGGTAGCGCGGTAATGGGCAAGTGCAGATCGTAACCGCAGGTCGTCCGCGGGACTACTTATCGCCATCTTGATAAATGGATGGGGTTCCTAAAATATTTACAACTTTATATCAACACTGTTAAGGATTCAATTTACTTGACACTTCTTAATATAAAACAGTTTATTAGACATGATATAAGCAAGAAAATATAATTGAATGTAGATTTTTTTAAGGTCGCAAACAAGCGAGTGGCCATAGACACTCGCATCCAGCATTGCTTTCCTTTAATCGAATAAGAATACGCACATAAAGAGGATATTCCCCTTTTTGTCCTTTCCTTATAACTTGTTTTAGGTTAGGAAAGATTTTTTTTAGTGATTAGACAATAAACGTTTAGTGCTAGTCATTTGCATTTTTATAGAGAAGAGAAATGTAAGAGCAAGAGATGCAGAACTTTAATTGTATTTGCAAAATTTTGTGTGAAAGAGATGGATGCAGACGTTTAGTTACACGTGCTGATTGTGTGTGAAAGAGATGGATGCACATATAGGTTGTACGTGCTGAATTTTGTGTGAAAGGGATGGATGCAGACATATAGTTGCACGTGCTGATTGTGTGGGAAAGAGATGGATGCACACATAGGTTGTATGTGCTGAATTTTGTGTGAAAGGGATGAATGCAGACGTATAATGAACTTGCTGCACTGTGTGCACAGATATGGATTCAGAACTTTAGTTGTAGGTGGTAAATTGTGTGCGAAAGAGATGGATGCACACGTAAAGTTGTAGGTGGTGTATTGTGTGTGAGAGAGAAGGCTGGCGACGGTGTGCAGTGCGGAGGAGGCGCGCGACGCGACCTGCAGCACGACGTGCGAGCGCGGCGCGCGCGGGGCGGGGCGGCGGCGCGCGCGCGGCGTGTGCGCGGGCGCGGGCGGGGCGCGCAGCGGCAGGCGCGGCGCGGGGATCACGATGTTGGGGGACATCGACAACACCGCGTCGTCGGTGCACCATCTACAAATGGATGGATGTAGCCTAAATTGAACGGATCTCGATCTAGCAAGTAATGGGTAGTCAAGAACATATAGTGTACTTTATAAATACCGGACAGATCGCTGGTTAAAACTAGTCTATACTAATATTATAAAGAGGAAAGTTTTGTATTTTTTTTATGTATTAAAATAACTCAAAAACTACTGAACCGAATTCAAAAATTCTTTCACCATTAAAAAGCTACGTTATCACTGAAAAACATAGGCTACAGTTTTAATTCCACAAAGACGAAGTTGCGAGCAATTATCAATAAAAATGTATTCAAGTCAAAGTCATTATAGTGTAGTAAATTCTACCTTTCGCTATGAGAATCAGCTTTTAACTCCGCTTCTTCTTTAGGCAAGAACACCTCATCATCCATAGACAAAGTCGCACGTAACGGATCACTGAAATCTCTAATCGGTACTCCGCAACTTAAATTTTTATCACCATCTGTCTTCCGACTAGATTTCACTTCATGAACCATTTCATCCTCTTTAACGTTCTTTACTTCTTCATTTAATACATCACTTGTAACCGATTTTGTATCTGTTTTGTTTGTAAATAATTCAATATTAGAATCATCCATATCGTCTATTACATCTACATTTTCACTTTTCAAATCTATAGATTTATCGTCTTCCTTAACATCACTAAAGAGACTCTCTTTCTCTTGCCTCTCACTCTCTCTTTGTATATCCGTTTCATTCGCTTCAGGTTCACCGAAAGACATCCCAGGTTCAGGAAGTACCGCCTCTATGTCAGCGAGGAAGGCCTTCTCAAACTTCCAGTTGTAGAAAGCCAGCAGCATGAACCTGACCACCTTCTTGACCCTCGCCAACTCCGCCAGGGAGCCACCTCGCAGCAGGATGCAGCAGCCGAGGTGAGGCTCCGCACAACCTTCTAGGACCATCAGAGTTTTTCCTGAAACTGAAATTTGTTACAAATGACTTCGCTTCTTTTAATGTATGCTAATATTGTAAAGAGAAAAGATATTTTTGTTTGTATTTATACAATTCACAAACTATAGGACTGATCTAAAAATTTCTTCCACCATTAAAAAGCTGTATTTTTTTAATTTTACGCGGACGAAATCGCGGGCAACAGTTAGTTTAAGTCAGTAAAAGAACAACTTGTGGCGAATATTGAAATTAATCTTAAACAGTTTATTACACTTTAAAGAAATCTGGACTTTTTGACGTGACTTTATGGTTTAAAAAGTCATAGGTAGTCGCTGTAACATATTTATATGTCATATCTGGTCAAATTTACATTGAAGGTAAATGAAACTTGGTGTGATTTTTCATTTGGAAATCTACGAAACAACCTTAGTAACTAAACTTTTTATAACTCAAAGTTCAAAAAAGCATTCTTGCTCAGTTAGGTTTAAATATCTTACTTCTTACTATTATAAATACAAAAGTTTGGATGGATTTTTGTTAGAGTTTATAGTCTAAATTGCTGAACGGATAGGCTAATTACTTTTCATTTTTAATTCCACAGACGGACTCAAGTGGGAGCAATTTCACGTTTCATCTGATAAGTGCGGTCCTGGAGGTTTAATTTATGTTTTTTTCCCTTTCCAACCAAAGAAAAGTGGATTTGGCGGTGGAAGAGATGCACAGCATGGGGAAATATCCTCTTTATATGCGTCATCGTCCGTTATTTAAGGGTAGGTAACGCATCTGAAGTTGCGTATGTCTATGGGCAGCGGTCGTTTTGCCATTTCATGAAAACATGAATAAAATGTATTAAAGAGAGTAAGAGAGAAAGCCTAAAGAGAGAAAGCCTAGCCTAGAAGAAAGAAAATGTTAATACTTACAATTCTTAACATAAAAGTCGTTGGCCGTGCCCAGCCTGGGCGTGGCGATCCTGGCATCGACGCTGGCGACGAGGTCGGCGCGCAGGCAGCGCGCGG